AGCAAAATGATTTTCTTGCCCTGTCTGCACAGAGGTTGTTGGTAGGTAGGAAAAAGTCCCCTTATAATTTATTATCGAATGACTAACATTGAGGCAAGACATTCAGTTCAATGCTAATGGTGTTATTTGTCCAGTTCAGGCTATTATGTCATTTAATTTACAATGATTATTAAACCTGTGCTGCATTGGAATAAACAAAAAGGTAGGAAACTTCATTACAGTGCAGCATGTATTGTCTTTCCTTTTATTAAGTGATGGAGCTGGGGATAATGGCTCTAAAGAGAACTAGTTCTTTCCAGTGGTTTTGCAGTGAGGCATTCCAGCTTTTCTGCAGGATGGTGAATATTCATTAAAGCAACCAGAGAGCAGGCTTGTGAGAGACAGGTAGCTCTGAACTGCAGGGCTGCTTCAAGCTGTGATGAAGAAATGCAGGGGTATTTGGAGAGAAAAAAAAAGGAGAAAATGGCAAGGTGTTAAATATTTCACAAAATACACAGTAACGTTCATCAGAAAAAGAATGTTACTCCTTTTGAATCCTCTAAATCAACCTCAAATGAAGAAGTCTTCAACTGCATACATGAGTCTACATAGAGCTGGCACTGGTGAAGGGAAAGTATATAGTGGATACCTAATTTATAAGTACATAGAAATAAAACAACAATGCCTGTATCATTAGTTACAATCTGCTGCTGTCCTGATGCTGCAGATTGTTCCCATGGGGGAGTTCTCATGTTTAAGCAGTAGAGCCAGTGGCATGAGTAACCCTGAGGGATCAGGTATTACTTTAGCAGTGAATAATGCCACCCAGATGGAGCGTTACAACTGTCAGGGGGATAGTGGGATGTGCAGCCTCATGGTTAGAGGGTACAGACTTAACCAACTAAAACCAACTGCTGGTTTGCGTGCCCAGCAGGTTGAAGGAGGTGATCCTGCCCCTCTACTCTGCTCTGGTGAGACCTCACCTGGAGTACTGAGTGCAGTTCTGGTGTCCTCAACATAAAAAGGACATGGAACTGTTGGAACAAGTCCAGAGGAGGCCACAAGGATGACCAGGGACTGGAGCACCTCCTGTATGAAGACAGGCTGAGAAAGTTGGGGCTGCTCAGCCTGGAGAAGAGAAGGCTGTGTGGAGACCTCAGAGCAGCCTTCCAGTATCTGAAGGGAGCCTATAGGGGTGCTGGGGAGGGACTCTTCATTAGGGACTGTAGTGATAGGACAAGGGGTAATGGGTTAAAACTTAAACAGGGGAAGTTTAGATTGGATATAAGGAGGAAATTATTTCCTGTGAGGGTGGTGAGGCACTGGAATGGGTTGCCCAGGGAAGTTGTGAATGCTCCATCCCTGGCGGTGTTCAAGGCCAGGTTGGACAGAGCCTTGGGTGAGATGGTTTAGTGTGAGGTGTCCCTGCCCATGGCAAGGGGGTTGGAACTGGATGATCTTAAGGTCCTTTCCAACCCAAGCTATTATATGTTATAGAAGCTATTTTATAGAATCTATTCTATAAAGGCACCAAAAAGTTACTGATGTTAATACACACATCACAGAATCATACAACCTGGGTCTGGGTTGGATGGGAGCTTAAAGCTCATCCAGCCCCAACCTCCTGCCACAGGCAGGGACACCTTCCCCTGGAGCAGCTTGCTCCAAGCCCCTGTGTCCAACCTGGCCTTGAGCACTGCCAGGGATGGGGCAGCCACAGCTTCTCTGGGCACCCTGTGCCAGCGCTTCAGCACCCTCACAGGGACAACTTCTGCTTAAGTTCTAATCTAAATCTCCCACAATCACCAACCCACGATCCCTATATTTTCATTTAGTTAACCTGATACTGCAAAACCTAGTATTTTTTCCTATTTTGTCCATACACAGTTCTGATTCTTTGTCATCAATCAGATCGAGTCAGCTTTTTGCAGGAGCTGTGACACTAGCATCATCACGCTGTTCTCTGTCAAATCCCTCCCCAGATCCCTTCAGCTGCTTTGGTGAGCTCACACTTGCGCTGTAGAGCCCCTTGATGTGTAAAATGTATGAGGTGTTTTGATCAAAGGAGTTCTTGTACTTCATGCAAATTTCAGCACATTCATAGCAGGCAGATGTGAATGTATAGATCTAATCCTCCTCATCTCCACTGGCCCCTGGGACATTAGTCCAGCCAGCAAGGGCAGGGGGGATTGGTGAAGAACAACTTCTTTATTTCATTTTAAGACTGTGTTAAGCTTTATCCATGTACAGTAACATTAATGTGCTGAACACCTACCATCTAAAAGGTTACAGTGACCACGTTTGGGGAAAATGGTCTTTTCACCTTTTTTCAGCATCTGATCAAATGGCAGGAAATCTTCCTGCAGTCCTTCCAGTCACTTCAAATGGCATTTTAGACGTTAGAGAATAGTGTTCTCTAGATTTCTTTTCAAACACAGAACCGAATACATTAAGTAAGGAGATTGGTTTTTGTGGGTAGTAGTGGCCATTGCTGACTAAACCTATTGGCAATGAATGATTCTGAATGGATGTTAATATTGTATCTTCCAGTGTTTTATTTTCCAGTCTCTGTTTATTCAACTCTAGTATCTATGAATTTGTTATCAACCTAAGTTTTATTTCTAGGTAGGAGTTCTGATGAGACAGGGTGACCAGTCATCTCAGAATCTGTCCCAGAATCACGAAGGCTTTGATACTAATTTGATTCAGATTTTTGAAGTAGAATACAGGACTAGTACTTGTTCCATGTGCCTTGCCTCTGAGTTACAGGGTTCTCCTCACCTTCCTTAAAGTCGTGGCCTTGGAAATGTACTCTTTCTCTCCTAACAACAGAGTGGGAGATAGGGGCTTTAACTGCCAGGTCACTGGCTTTGAGAGCTGTGTTGAGCTGTGGGACATAGTGAAGAGGACATGTTCTAGCACTTATTTCAGGGGTGGAGTGGATCTTCCCCTCCTGCATCCTGTCTCAGAGGCAATCCTCTTGCATTACATTTTCCTCTTGTTATTAAAGAGTTACTTTAAGTTACAGGCAAGATACTGCTGACTTGTATGAATTCATTGTACGATGGCTGCATCAAGAGTCCCTGCTGCCTACATGAAGTCATTACTGGGAAGCCCTGGATGAATGACCTCATAAATTTAAGTCAGCCAGGAGGGAGAAGGCTTCTGTCATTCCTCTCATTTGTTCATCCTGTGCTGCTTTGGGAGCTGGAATAAAGCTCAAGGAAAAGAGGATTATGATTTTCTTGAGTTCAGGTCCTTGCTCTTCAGTTGCCTAATGAACAATTGTACTCTCATTTAGGACTCTGCAGAGAAAGGATTCCACTCTTGTACACAGTGTTTGAAGAGAGCCTCTGCAATGGATGAAATGTGGAGCTCATTCTCATAGCAGATATGTTTAGAAGACAATGATGCACTGGAAAATACTTTCTTTGTGGGACTGTTGAACTCATGAATATCCTGTTCTTTATCCCTTGGCTGACATGCATTGGTGCATATGCATTTGCAGTATAGAGAATGAGAGATTTTCTGTATTGTCTTCTTTACCATGTTACACACACAGTTCTGCCCACTACTTTTCTCAGTACAGGCACAACTTTGTGTCCTTTGGAGGTGTTCTGTGAAGTGCCTTTGTTTGTGACTACCTCAAAATCACATTTGAGTTTATGAACTTTGTAGGAAGAACACTGCACACAGAAAAAGGTAAGAGGAAGACCTGGGATTTGACTTAAATCAGTCTGTTTTGCTTTGCAGGACTGAGCTGAATATGGCACAAGTTCATACTTTGCAATAACCTCTGCCGAATAGACCACATTCCTTAACAATTGTATTCTTATATATCCTCGTGTTGTCTGACATTCCACTTTGATATAGGAAGCACTGAAAACAAATATATCTCTTGGGTTCCTTTATTCTAAAAACAATTGCTATAACAGAAAGGTGCAGCCAGATGCATTTCAGTTTGCACAGATTGTTGTTTGGTGTGCCCATCTAATATCCTTGCCTCCAAGTCACCATTAGCTATAGAAAAGTGACTTGACAGCAGCTGAATCGTCTAGAACACAGCTTTTAATCAGAATTTGTTCTTGGAAATGTTGCTCTCCTCCCCAAAAGAAAGCTGCAATAGTTCTAATTTTCATTGAATCAGTTTTAAATGTATGACTGTTCTGCTTTATAACAGAATTATTGCATTGAAGAAAGCTGCTTCAGGAACAGGAAAAAGGAGTATACCAAATTACAGATTCTCCTAAAAGAGTCAAACATTCCTTTCTTATGGATGTTTGCCTCTAGAAAGCTATCTGGCTGCTTTGCTATGCATGAAGGGGAAAGCCTTGTAAGTCAGAGGGGGATTATTTCTTCTTATTTAGTTAGAAACACATATTTTTGTACATTGCAATATCAGCTTTGTAAGAATATTACTTTTCAGCATAATACATATACAGGATATTTAACTGTCAGATAGCTTCAAAGGTAGCAGAAGCAGTGCAGCATTAGGTCTGTTGGTCCCTGCTATGAACTTGTCCTGGGTTCAGCAGTAGCAGTCATTTTTCTCCTTCTTAGCAGCTGGTGCAGTGCTGTGGTTTTGACTTCCAGCCTGGGAACAGCGCTGATAACACCGATGGTTTTAGTTGCTGCTCAGTAATGTTTACTCTGACCAAGGACTTTGTGAGCCTCATGCTCTGCCAGGGAGGAGGGGAAGCCGGGAGGAAGCAGAGACAGGACACCTGACCCAAACTGACCAAAGAGGTATTCCATACCACAGCACGTCATGCCCGGGATGTAAACTGGGGGCAGTTACCTGGAAGGGCTAGACCTCTGCTCGGTCAGGCTGGGTATCAGTCAGTGGGTAGTGAGCGGTTGTATTCTCTTCCCTTGTTATTTCCCTTATCATTATTATTATTGGTGGCAGCAGTAGTGATTTGTGTTATACCTTAGTTATACCCCCATCCCTCTGGGAGCAGGGAGGAGGAAAGCAGGGGGGGGCTTGAGCTGCCGACTGTGCGTAAACCACGGCAGAACTTCATGTGGGGTTTAACATCATTTACTGTTTTGATGCTTCCCGTTCCAGCCTGTAAAACAGACACAGTGATTATACAGCAATGGGAAGATATGGGGAGGTACAGCTAGAAGAGGTTCAGAAGAGGTTGAAGCTGCCTGAACACTGAAGGCAAAGTGTGTGAGCCTGGCTTTTTTCTCCTTCTTCATACAGTTGTTTTCCCAGCACTCATAGCTGTATCTTAGGAAAAACTCCTCCAGTTTCAGTGAAGGACTGGGGTTGTGTGGAACAGAGAAGCAAAGATCTCCTTAATGGTTTGATGTTGCTTGATCAGTTCCTGCTTCAGACTTCTACCTTTTAACCTATTTATGTTAAGCTGGATACAGTCTGAGCTGCTTTGCTTCTTTACCAGGCAGGTGCAACAAGGGTAGAGATTTTTCAAGCTGCTGTTGGTTACCTCAATGCTTATTTCACTATGATTTAAATTAGATTAATGCAGCCAAAATGTATTAAAATAGCTAATAAATATGTAATAAAGTTGTAATAAAAAGCACTGTAAAGATATTCCACACTTCAAAAGCAAATTCTTGTCTGGAGAGGTACATTTTGTTTGCCCTTTAAGTAAGGAGGGAGCCCTGCAGTTTGTCTGAAACCCAAAACTCACAGATGTTGATATCAGGAGGAGAAATAATGTCCTTTACTTCAAAGCTGGTGCCAAGCAAAATATTCTTATCTGCAGCTAATATTGTTATCCTGAAGTTCACATTGAAATCATACGTAAATATTCTGGGAAACACATGATATTTAGGGAATATTTGTGTATTTTGCCATTATTATGGTTTAGTAAGGGAAAAAAGGCTTCTTGAGCATATCCAGGTATTCCAGTGACTTGGAAGCAGCTGCAGAGGCACCAGCTTAAGTGCCTGGGTAGACAAACAAAGAGCTGTGTGCTGCTTGCAGCACTTCCTCCAGATACTAGCATTTGGGCAGCTTGGCATGTGTACCTCCTACCCTCCCTACAGCAAGAGACCACTTGTAGGCTTCAGTTTTATTTTATAGGGTTACCTGTATACTTGGAAGAGTGTCAGTCTCGGGTGATCTTCATCCTGTTTCAGAAGTGAGAGCTGAAGAATAATGAGAAGCTTTCTGGTATGCTGAAAAGCAATTGGTTTAGTTAAGGACCAGGCTACCAAATGCCACAATATTATATGCTTTGTACACACATACGTGTTCAGCTCTGGACCCCCAATATAAGAGGGATGTGGAGCTGTTGGAGTGAGTGCAGAGGAGGCCATGGAGATGCTGCGAGGGCTGGAGCAGCTCTGCTCTGGAGCCAGGCTGAGAGAGCTGGGCTGGGTCAGCCTGGAGAAGAGAAAGCTCCTGAAGGAAAGACCTTAGGGCAGCTCCAGTGCCTGAAGGGGCTGCAGGAAACCTGGAGAGGGGCTTGGGACAAGGACCTGTAGGGACAGGCCAAGGGGAATGGCTTGAACCTGCCAGAGGGGAGATTTAGGTGACATATAAGGAAGAAGTTCTTTACTGTGAGTGTGGTGAGGCACTGGCACAGGGTGCCCAGAGAAGCTGTGGCTGCCCCATCCCTGGCAGTGTTCAAGGCCAGGTTGGACACAGGGGCTTGGAGCAAGCTGCTCTAGTGGAAGGTGTCCCCGCCCGTGGCAGGGGCTGGAACTGGATGAGCTTTAAGGTCCCTTCCACCCCAAACCATTTTGTGATTCTATAGTTTGCAGCCGTAGTTTTAATATGGATAGATCCAGTCCCTGCACCACTTTCAGTCAGTCTCTGCCTGGGTAGTGCTCCACAGGAAATGTGAAAAAAGAACTGAAAAGAACAAATTCTATAGCAATAGTTGTGTTATTTTTAAGCTACTGCCTTGAACAATGTCCCTTCAGTAAATATAATACAAATGCTAAACTATTGACCACAAGAACTGAGGTTTAGAGCCCATCAGGCTTCTGTTGTCTTTCTTACTCTGCAGCTGCAGTGTCAAGTATTGAAATTCCCGGAAAGTCACCTGTGGAATATTTGATGTCCCTAAATACAGGCCCGGTGGTGTGTATTTTTAGGTACATACATCAACAATCCTTCATTATTTTGCCTTTTCACACAAAATTAAAGTATTTGTCTTGAATTTCAAGAGATACACTTGATATATTCATTCATGAGCTAAAATAAACGGAAGGGAGCCCACAGAGGAAGAGATTACTATAGGAGAATGGCTTTTTACTGCTGTTAAACTGGCCAAATATTTGCAGCTTTGCAGTGATTCATCCTTTTTCCTCTCTTGTTCAGCAGGATTTTGGAAGAACAGACTGAGGAAGGAGCTAATGATACTCCAAAAGAGGATCAGGTCCTTCTTTGGTGATTAATTTTATCTGAATCAAATCCTTTGTTGCCAGAATGAGGCCACAGAAGTGAGTAGAACTTCCCGTGCTCACCCCAAGGGAGGAGCAAGGCCTTTATTTGACATATTTTATTAATATTTATTATTTCTTTCAAAATAAATGCTGCTACTTAACATTCATTATTATCTTTATGAAAGGAAATGCTCAAGCCTGGGGTTCTGTCCTGAGACAAGATCGTTTGGGACCATCCTGTCAAGAGAGAGGTTGGGACCAGGAGGAAGCTCTTGAGTCATCACTGTGGTGCTCTGCTATCACCAGCTATCTTGTGGCATAAACGTCATCCTGGATTGGTCAAATTCAATAACAAACCAGGTAACTTCTCTATCCTACTCAAGGGTGTGTAGTAAGGGTGTGTAGTGAACCAGTCAGGAGTGAGAAACCATCTCTCAGACTCCACGCCACCTTTTCCTATGCTGTGATTTGTGTTTGCCTTTTCCCCTAGGCTGTACCTCAGCCTAAACAGTTCTTTCCCTTCCCATCTCCTCTTCTGTATCTATAGGCAGCAGCCAGTTCCCTTCTTTCCCTTTAAGATGCCTATGTCCTCTTAAATAACTTCCCACTCACTTTGGGCTCTTCTCCCTTAAGCACCACAATGCAAAAGCATCAGTTCAGTCCCAGCTGTGTCTCTGGGAGTTGCTCAGGTCCTTCCCTCTGAAACAAGAACTAGCTGCAGTGCTTGGGTTTTTTCACTTCAAAGACCCCTCCAGGGGATTACACAAGCAATTCTACAGGTTTCTCTCCCTTCATCCTATACATCCTCCAACACCACCAAAAAATCGATTCCGTTAGGCCTGAACATATGAAAGAGTCTAGCACATAGCTTTACACAGGACAAAAGCTTTATGGAAACATGCATCAGGGATGGAGAGGGAAAGCATCACCACTTCAGTGCTTACTGATTGCTGCCTGCATTACAGCTGCAACAGGCTGGCATTTTACAGCCCTCTTCTCTTAAGAGCTGATGGATGGTCTGCATGGATGGATGTGCGACTTTTTGGTGATTAATTTTATCTGAACCAAACCCTTTGTTGCCATAATGTGGCCGCAGAAGTGAGCAGAACTTCCTGTGCTCACCCCAAGTGACCTTGAGTGGGGTGTTTTATGTGTTTTATGTCTGGTGTGCCTGCAGATGGGAATTCTTACCTTCCCAAGACCACTATCAGTTTGGCTAAACCTGTACCTATAGAGTGCTTTCAGCTCTTTAGAGGAAACATCACATAAGTGCAGGTATTATTTAAACACACAGGTAGGAGCCATGGATAAAAGTCTTTCTGGAAGGCACTCTCATGGTCTCATGTGAGCAGTGTTTGTCCTCAGCACATTCTGGACACAAAGGTCTGAAGGTGTTTTTCTGTTAGAGCTAAAGAGGTGGCTCAGCAATGAGAACACTCCCTTATTTTGTTAGAAACCAGTGCTTCTATTGATCTCTGAGTCAAGAGTCACTCTACTATAGGGGTATCTCCACTATAGTTGGCTATACTATAGTGTACCCATTCCAGCAGTCATTTCTGTGCACATATTCTGATCACGGAGTAGTTCAGCCTGAAAACCTTTTTTTAGCTTCAGTGTTCCAGGAGCTTCCCATTTTGGCATGCAAGTCATGTTCCTGGAAGCAGAAGCACCAGCTTATACTCAGTCCCTAGGGGCAGAAAAGGGGAATGTATAACTTCAACACCTGCAGTGAAATTGCTGTGCCATTGGAGGCAAGGTGCACACTTGGCCTACAGGTAAATTAAACACCAGAGAGTTAAAAAACTTTGCATAATGTCTTTAACATACATATATAAATGTATTTTTGTCTCCTGTGAAGCCAGGCTGAGAGAGCTGGGCTGGGGCAGCCTGGAGAAGAGAAGGCTCCTGAAGGGGAGACCTTAGAGCAGCTCCAGTGCCTGAAGGGGCTGCAGGAAACCTGGAGAGGGGCTTGGGACAAGGGCCTGTAGGGACAGGCCAAGGGGAATGGCTTTAAACTGAAAGAGAGGTGATTTAGATTAGATATAGGAAAGAAGTCCTTCCCTCTGAGGGTGCTGAGGCACTGGCACAGAGTGCCCAGAGAAGCTGTGGCTGCCCCATCCCTGGCAGTGCTCAAGGCCAGGTTGGACACAGGGGCTTGGAGCAAGCTGCTCTAGTGGAAGGGGTCCCTGCCCGTGGGCAGGGGTTGCAACTGCATGAGCTTTAAGGTCCCCTCCAACCCAAACCAGTCTGGGATTCTAATACATGTTTTATCTTTTGGACAGCCCTGAGGTAGTCAGGCAGTTGGACTAGATGAGCATTGTAGGGTCCTTTCAACTGAAACACGACTATCCTATCCTATCCTATCCTATCCTATCCTATCCTATCCTATCCTATCCTATCCTATCCAAAAAAGAGATCCAAAAGCCCAAGGGATGGAGAGAAAAGTATAAATCCATACACCTTGCTACTGTCTATCTCTTCCCATTTGTTGTATTAACAATAAAGGGAGAGTAGAAACTTCTGCAGGGTGCCTTGGACATCTCTGCTTCCCCAGCACTCTGTTAGCTGTCTGCTGGAGGCACTCAAAAGAGATACTAGGAGAAAATCATAACTTCCATCCCAGATGGGTGATTATAGGAATGATCACAGCAATGGGTACACAGTATTTCATCTGTCCACTGCCAGCTATAGTGGAGATAACCCATTCTTCTCTATAGGTGATGGATGCCTCTTCTTGGCAGACCCAGCAAAACCCATCCCACCTTGAGGACCTCAAAGTAATGGATCATAATGAGTAGATCATTCAGTCTGGTAAAATACTTAAGAAGGTGAAAACATATTTCCCTGTGGCTGATCCTTGATTTTATGTGATCTTGAAAAGCCTTTTTCCTTCATCCCTTCTTACAGAAGATCACAAATAGCTTCATCTCCTCTGCAGGGACCTGAACATATTAAAAGGTCAGTGCTAGATCAAAACAAGTATGCTTTAAAAAAGAAGTATTTCCCTCAGTTCCCCATCATGCCATATTATATCTGCCACGAAACCCATGCACAGTTTACCTGCACGGTTTCTGTTTATCATTTATCTCAGCAGACTGAAAGCAGTCATTCTGCTCCCATCGAGTCACTTGTTCTCGCTAGTTGAATGCTCACTGAAGCAGTCACAGTGCCAAGCTTGCAAGGAAATATTCAGACACTAATTAACCTCTTCATTCTGTGTGTGGGCAGGGGCTGTGTTTCCCCTGGAGCACAATTGGTGTTCAAGATGCTTGTTTGGGGTTTCAGGGTGTTTGCACACAGTGTATGGCTCCCTGTGTCTCTGTTGGTATGTGTGTGGGACGCCGCTGGCTCCATTTGCCCACAGCTGATCCTGCATGACATTCCCCTTGGAACACACAAGTTTTCCAATATGGAAGTTTAAAAACCAGCCCTTCTCCTATTTTATTTCAGTTGCTAGATAAAAGGCAGCAAATCTCATGGCTACTCCATCAAGCCGTCCCAATAAATGCTTGTGTGGCTGTAGGGTGGGAGGGGAGATTGATTTCAGCATCTGTCCAACACACGTTCAGCCTGGAGCATTAACCCTCTTCAGAGGTTTTCCTCTTTGATTTTCCCAATAAACAGATCTGCCTGGTGTTACTGCTGATGCTGATAGGATCTTCTGTGGGAGGTGGTTTAGCATGTGGATAGAATCGGCATTAGAGGTTACTAAAGTGGTTTGTGTTTCCGTGCTCAGCTTCTCCTTTACCAGACTCAACACTGGAACTCCATATAGAATGTGTCCAGGCTGTGTGTTTCTGTGGCATGAGAAGCCTTCATAGGAAGAAGGTTCTTGATGCAAAATTCAGCCCTCAAAGCGTTAAGAAATACTGGCATTATGAAGAGGTTTTAAAATGGCTTGGTTTGAATGACTGTGGAAATGGCTTTAATAATAATCCAGTTTGTAAGGTAGCCTTTTGTTGTGGTTTAAACCTGGTTGAAACCATGACACCCTTTCTACTCTGGAGCTGCCTGGATGGAGCAGGGGTGAGACAAGCCTTGTGCACACCCATTTGTAGCTGTTTCTTTCATCATTAAAGGCCAGGGCACCTCCAAGGGAAGAAACAGGCCACTGCTTTGTAGCTAGAAATCATGGAGAAGCCAAGGCTGCTCATGCACAGTCCAGGTGGGAGCTGCTGTCGCCAGCCTTCAGGTGTGCTACTCTTATTCCTTAGTGTTTGAGAAAAGAGGTAGGTTCTTTAAGGATAAGAAGGCTGTGGGAGGCACTTAATGCTGCAGACAGAGCTGGAAGGGATGAGTCCCACCCTGTGGGACTAAACCTTGTTTCCAGCCCCAAGGAATACCAAGGCACCACTGAAGGACTTGTTGATTCATGCCTGCCCGACGGGAGGCCGGAGGCCTATAAGAATAGATTAAATCAGCCCAGCTGGTGTTATCTGCTTCGTGTATTCCCCTCAGAGCAAGAGCAAGGTGCTGCATGGGCCCTCCCATTCTGCTGCTGCAACAACATGCAGGCTCCTACAGAGATTTCTGCTCACCCAGATGTTTCAAAGTACAGATGTGCCCTTTTACAGGGGAAAACCCCCATCCATGACTTTTAAACCAGTTCTGCCTTGGATTTGATTAGTTCTGTGTGATTTGGCATAACACTTCCAAAAGAACCACCTATGGAACAGATTTGAGCAATGATAAGGGTAAAGCTGAGCATTAACCTTTAATGTTTTTTCTCCTTGTTATGTTGCACTTATTAGCGCACAGTTATACTCCCTGTGTGTTGAGAGAGCAGGAAATTACACAGTGAATGTTAGCAGAAGCTGACGTTTAGGCTTTTATTATCACTTGACAAAGCCCTGTAAATCCCATTAGCGCTGAGAGGAGTTGTATGTGTCTGTTGGGGGGGGACGAGACCATTTGCTCTCAAGTGCATGTAACTAATTAAAAATGTAAGAGCATATAGTACATAATTATATTGGGCTGTAGGTTAATGCTGCTGAATGAACACTGCCAGAGCTGAAACGCTTACACAGAACAAGGGAAGCTCTGGCTGGCTCTGTTCAGAGAATAGTCTCTGTCTGTGAGTAGTCCTGGTGATCACTCTCTCTGTGGCTGGGGAAATGGGTATATCATGGCTGTGACCTTGGTCAGGAGCTGCCGGCCACAAAACAATGCAGGGAAAGGCGAGAGGACAAGATCTGGCACCTCCAGGCTGGTTTCACATCCTCTGCTGAACTGATTTCTGGCAGTGCTTTACTTGCCAATGCAAGCAACAGGCATCTTCATCCCCACCTTGCTCACTGTAGGATACCCTGTCACAAACATCAAAGGAGCTCAGGTTTAGGGCAGGCAGCTCTCCTGGGAGGAGGGCAGTGCCAGCATCCTCTCACTGCCTGTTGATGCCCAGCCTCTAGAGTGGTTTGAGAAGTGTGTGCCTGCAGGAAGGGTGTCACCTTCCTATAAGCCACCAGCCATTGCTATGATCTTGGGCTTGCTAATCTGGAGTAGAAACCACAAATTCATACCTTCTACTTCCTATATAACTGTGTTTTATTTCACAGGACTGTCTGAAAGTCATACATATGATTGTAAGTAACCAGTAATCTTCATTACAGACACAGATAATTGACATAACAGCAACAGTTACACAAAACATTTGTCTGTTGCTGTGCAAACAAAGGCATGTGCAGGACACATGCATGGAGAAGAGCTTCCGTGCAGCTGAAACAGAAGCCCCAGCCCCTGGCACAAAGGTGAGAAGCACGGTCCTAAGGAAAAGGATCATGAAAGACATTTGTCATTACTTGATTCTTCTTGAGGTTGAGGAAAACAAACTTCATAGAATCACAGAATGGTTTGGGTTGGAAAGGACCTTAAGATCATCCAGTTCCAACCCCCTGCCATGGGCAGGGACACCTCACACTAAACCATGTCACCCAAGGCTCTGTCCAGCCTGGTCTTGAACACTGCCAGGGATGGAGCATTCTGAGCTTGCTTGGGCAACCCATTCCAGTGCCTCACCACCCTCACAGTAATGAGCTTCTTCCTTATATCTAACCTGAACTTCCTCTGTTTCAGTTGGAACCCATCACCCCTTGTCCTGTCTCTACAGTCCCTGATGAAGAGAAACTTCCAAGAAACAAGCTTCCAAGTTCTTTGTCAATGAAGAGCATGGGACCAAAGAAACCCCCAGCTCTGTTACAGGATTCACACCCATCTAGAAAAGCCTCTAGGTGATAAACATGATGATAAAGCCTCTAGATGAATATGATGGCATTAAAACGTCGTATTTAAATTAATAAATGTTCTCGATGATCATGACATTTTATGGCAAGATGAAATTGCTCAGACTAAGCCCATGGGCAGGTGCAACTCTCAGCTTATTCCCATTTCCTTATAATGCTTCTATGGTTTTAGAAGGCCCCATCACACAAAACCCAACCTTTAAAGTTTCTTGCATGTGCTTTATGCTTTCAGAGCCGCTGCTGGTTTGAGTTTCACATCCAGGGAAAGTTGAGCTGATCTCTTTATTTGATGATAAAAGAGCAGCCACTGGATGAAAGGCAGGTCAGGATCACGTGTATTAGAGCGTGGTTTGGCATTAATGTTGAGAATCTCCTGTCATCTTCACCACCACCCACAAATGCCATAGCAACCACATTGCAGAGGGGCTAAAATGCAGCCACAGTTTAACGTGCTGTGAAATGAATGCACTTCTTGTTTTACCATTGTGCTGCTGAATTCATGTCAGCTGCAGGCAGTGATCAGTAGAAAGTTCAGTTCCCACTGAAGAGAAGATAAATAAACAGCCCTGGCTTTGCCTTTGTGGAATGTGGCACTTATGGGGAATTCAGCTGTGTGGGCACCTAACTCCAAGGACCTCAAATTATATGTTGCACTTGCACTTACACATCAGCTTTGAGAAGGGCCATAAGAAAGTCTTTGCAGTGAACACTAGGTCCAAGCAGAAGAAGCAACCATTTGTTGAGGACTTTCTACAGAACAGTACTTGTTTAGTCTCCATGTTTGACTTTCAGCAGTTGATGCAATTCTTCTCCAGTACAATGGCCTGGGTTCCAGCAAGGGTTTGTAAAGCTTGTGCAAGTCAGTAATTTGCTGCAATTAAAACTATGCAGCCAGCATTGTGTTTGCTGGCAAAGCACAGGAACATTCTTCTTCTTACAATGTGTTAAAGACACTTTAAAAGTGTGCTAAAGCATCCAGCATGTTCGTCATCATGTGATCTTTCTTCACAGCTTGTTCCCCCATGGAAGCTACCTCCAATGGGGTGGGCTTTTCTCAAATACCATCATGATCCTGTTCTGTTTACACCCGCTTCCAACTTCCCCATACCCCTGTATATCACTTCCAGGCATTAACTATTCCATACTCCTTGTAGGGATCATTAGTCAAATCCTTCACTCAAAACACTACGTACATACTGTCCATAGACCGCTCTGAATCCAAGAACAAGTTGTTCCTGTTACGTATTCACCGGTTATTTTTCCCTCTTTGTGTTTCCAGGCATCTCCCAGCAGAGCTGGAGCAGAAATCCCGCACACATGAGAAGGGAGGGACTGCACTCGAGGCAGTTTCTGCAGCCAGATGGAGTCAGGCTGACGTTACCCACCCCTTTGTGACCTTTGCTTAACTGTCATGTTTGGCTACCGGCCTTTGAAGTGATGGGATACGAGGTCTCCAAAAGGGGCAGGTAGGACGATGGAAATAAATGCTGCTGAGATATGGGTGCAGTAAATAACTGATGCTTTTAATGTCCTTCCTACGAACAGCATTCCAAAGTGGTGTTGCTCTCCAGCCTTTCCCTTTTAATCCTGCTCAGACTGGTCAATGCATAATCCTTCCTTCATCTGGGGAGACAGCAGTTTCCTTGCTTGACCCTGCTCTCTTTGTCTCTTGGGTTAGCAGAGAGCTTTCAAAGTGCTTGTTCTGAGACAGGCAATGTCACCGGATTCACATCTCTCAAACAATGCAGCACTCCTTTGGCACCTGGATCAGAACAGAGACAGAACCCATGGAATGAAAACAGAGCGGGAGGATCCTGCTCCCAAACTGGTCACATTGGCACCCAAAATCAACTGGCTCCCAGTCCCTGGCTTGTCTAGGTAGAAGGGCAGGTCAGAGCACGCTGTAGCTCTTGGTTGGACCAGGCACCTGGATCTCTCTTTGAGAGAAGATTTGGTGTGTTTCCATCTATGGTGGCGGGACATGGCCAAGGCATGCAGCTGGTATGGGAACTCGGACCAAGCCTTGGGATGTTTCTGTTGGCTGCACTGAAGACAACTTCTGATACTGGATTTCTCCCTGGATGTTCTTTGATCCAGGTCCAGTCACCCTCAGCTCTCTTCTGACAAGCTCCTTAAATCTCTCCCTGTAAGTCATTGTTCTCAGGCTCGTGTGCATTCCTGTGTCTCTTCAATTGTCTCCAGCTTTTCAACCTCCCGCTTGCTTTGTGGACAAGAGCAGGGCACAATGTGCCAGTAGTTCTGGGAGAGGGGGAATACTCAGACAACATCCTCTTCTCCCTGGATTTCCTCTGCTTAGACATATACAGATTGGATGGTTTCAGGGATCGCTGATAGCTCCTATTTCAGTCATGGCTTTCCACTGTAGAATTGCTGCAGCCCCACCAGGCAAGTATCTTCTTTCTCCATTCTTGCTTGCCTTCAGATCACCATTGGAATCAGTGACCTGTGTTGCTTCTTTTTACCATTTTCCCAGCCTTTTTCATCT